TGTACCTCAGTGTATGCTCACCTTCCCTGAGGTAAGTTTTTTTGGCTTTTGTGAAATCAGTAGCTCTTCTAATTCTTTTCTTTTCATTGCAGATCTGTTCGGAAGACACTATGACTTTGTATCTTCAAGAAGGTGCGCAGTTAGTGGAGAAACGGGCACGATCATGTTCCGCATGGAAATGGCGCTATGATGGTGTACATCCGAGCCCATTGCTGTTTCGAGGGGACAGCGATGATGAGCCAAATCTGCATACGGTAAGACGATTCAAATCCTAGTCTTTTTCCGACTTTTACCTTCCACGCCGGTTTTTTTCTTCTACGTTTTGTCTTTTCCTGGTTTTTTTTCTGAATTTCTTTTATTATCTAAGCATTGACTTCATATTTTTATGTGGACCTCTTTTCCAGCCCTTTACCCGGCTATCATCGTGCAGATCATCTATGTCGTCAGCTTCGTTTGGTCTGAATCGGTACTTCGCATCGAAAAACACTCATCTCACCTCGGATTCCGCTCTAGGAGTCGGTGAGAGCTCTTCTGGTAGAACACACTTCTTTCTAGCTAGTTTGCTTTGAGGGAATGTGTTTTTTCAAGGTTTTCTGGCTGAGTTGGGAGGTTCACCGGTTCGATCACTTGATGGTAGCGTAAGTCCTGTGGAAGAAGATTCGGAATTCATCTTACCTCCCATCAAGTATGTTTATGGTGATTTTTTTCTGTTTGTAGCATTCAAAATTTGTTGTAGCACCTCTTCAATCATGACGTCATCGATGGTCGATTATTTTCAATTGGCAGCTTACGATGATCTCTCTGAAAGTGAAGACTCTCCCAGCAGCTCGGATAAAAAGGTATGATCTTAATTTCCGGGCATCTCTTGCCTCCGCTTGTGAATTTGAGCTTCAGGACCTGCGAATTGATGGCAAGAAAATCGACTGTCAAAAGCAGGAGTCTGTATCTGAGGCCGAATCAACAACCACTGGCCAAGGTTTCGATACTGAGGCTGAAATGGCTAGATCGTTTGTGCTGAGTGGATGGGCGGATGTTGAGGTACATCCTCTGCTTAGATGGGTTGATTAAGTCGTGAAAATTGGGGGTTTTGCAGGATTTGGACACTTTTATATCCCTGTTGGATCGAAGGACCATCCCAAGCAAGCAGAGGATCTCATCAGCAGAGACTATGGCTTTCATCGATTCAAAGTTGCAGTACATGAAAGAGATGCAAATCGAGAAAGAGGAACCACCGAAGATTGAGAAGGAAACAAAGGAGACTGAGCGTGTGATACAAGTACGGGGTCAGCCGATCGGACCCGTGCAAGGTCTGCTACAATTCGTTCCTGTTATTCTTATCGCTTTACGTTTCACCATTGGTTTTCCTTCTAGATGGCTCTCTGTTCTTGGACTCATTGCTCACCCAGCTGGCAGAAATGACTGAACACTCATTAGCCTTCAATCTACAACTGGCTAATGTTCTCTGCTCATTAGCTGCTTACCCACAGCCGGTGCTTGTTGCCAGCATCTTTAACACCAAAGCTAGCGATGGCTTTCCTCATTTGATTCAGGTGAGCATTCCTCCATAAAATTTGTCAAATTATGCTAACTGTTCTTGCCATTCTCTCACTTGGATGCAATGTCTAGACGATCTGGGTACCTGGGTTACCTATATCAAACTGGCTCTGAGACCTTACCTAAGCCATTTTCTTCGCATTAACATAATGCTAGAATAAGTCAACTTGCCCAATATACCGTTTTCGTGAGCGGGCGTTCCACCGTCCTCGGAGTACTGCAAAGGGAGGAAACCTAGAGCTGAGAACATAGGTCGCGAGAGTTTTTTGGTTAGCAGCAAAAGAAGAGATCAAGTCGCCAAATTTGTTTGAACACTGCATTTCGGTTTAATTACTTTCTTCGGCTATTGTCAAAGTATATTTCATGTTTTCCCAACGTTTGCGTCCAAGTATCTTGATTGCTCATTGTATAACAACTGTGGAAATACCGGAAGAGTTGAAATTTCTCTTTTTTTTCTACTTTTGTTTTTAGAAAAATCGCGATAGATCCCTCACGATTGTGAAATACTTATTTCTGAGACTTTCCCTAGCCGTGATTCTTCTCGTCGTCCGTTATATATGGGAAAATATCTTTAGGTGCTGTCTGAGTTGAAGGATCGTGTTGACGCGGCTGCGACTGGCATTGAAGGTTTGGATGTCTATGTTGGCAGAGCTTTACGGACGTTAAATGGCAGAGCAGAGAAAATGGAACGTTATAATGATGGATATATAGCTCGGTAATAGTTTTTCAAGAGTTAAAGCCAGTTTTTTTCTTCGATCATGAAAGTCAAATAAAGTATCTGAAATTGTACGCATATTAAATGGGTTACTGCTTTGTAGAACACCCAGTAATCGAACTTCTTTGAGGCTTGCGGACTCCCCACGTGATGATTCTTTTACCCCGATCACTTCGTTCCTACGAGGACGTCCATTTGGTAGCTCAGGGAGGAGATCGCACGGCATCAGGTGTGGATTTGTCGTTGGCCTTCGAAAATTGTCTATCCAACTGCGTTTTGAGAGTCGGTTTTGATAGAACCGAAAAAAATGTGTACGCAGTGCTGATTTTTTTGAAAATCATAAGAATATGCGCAAAAAATTTTGATGTGTAATTGATTTGTGAGTGCTTTTTTTCTTTTATTTCTGAGGGGTCCAAAACATTGCGGTACTTGCACTTTATGTATGGGTACTAGTGAGAGGCCCTGTAAGCTAAATGGCAGCTTACAAAAACGACTCTTAGAAGAAAAGGTTGAGTAACTCTTGCCCAGCATCGTAGACGAA